AGAAAGACTTCTATATCTCTAGATCGGAAAATTATTTCATTTATTATTATTATTATGATAATCATTACTAATATTATTTTCAAGATAAATCACGATCTGATTTCAATTAGATGACAACCATTCAAAGACCGGCAGGGAGTACTGGACAGGTGTTTCATCCTTTTTTATCTGAGACTCTTCAGCAATGCACACTCATAATCCCGCCTCTAGGGATCGAACCCAGGATCTTCAAATTTGGATGGGATTCAATGGCCAGTCCATCAATTCTAACTTAATATATAGTTCACGATATTATTCCCATGAACGAACATGTTACCTTATTATTATTATCCCTTTGATTCCGAGTAGAATATAGGCATTCAGTAGTACACCTTCATTTCCGCCTGTTCTTTACAGTCCTCTTCAACTGACCTTAGCATAGTCTATGTCTCCCTTGGATACGTATTTCATCATATGCCAATCGGGTTCCACTCGAGGGTTCTCTGCCTAGAGAGTGATGTCATTTGGCAGCCTATTTGTTGAGTAATAGATCTCTGTTTGGGTGATGATATTAAAGACTATTCTAGGGATTGTGGCCACGTCCATTATTTGTGATTTGGGAGAATTATAAGGCTTCTCAACAAACATTTTTTTATCACACTACCTTACTGTGGAGAAGAAAGTTTTAGTATAGAAAGTTTTGACTTCCTTCTCATTTAAATACCCCCATGCTGGGGAACGATGATAAAGTTGTTATAAACAAGCTGAGATTTTGTAAATTCTGGTTTAATATTGCTTCTTTGATAAAGCTATTAGCAGCAGCATTAAATAGCGAAACGTCAGTAAAAACAATGCCGTTTTGTTTTTCATTCATTGGGAAATACAAAACAAAACCTTTATTATAATGAATATATCATATACCCAATGCCTCATACCTAACCTTCCCTCTCTAACAGTCTTATTACTGGGTTAGTGAGGTAAATGAATGCGTCGGCTGGTGATCAACTCCAGACTACCCGCTCGGTTGGTGAGCATTCTACAGCTGTGCCATCGACGCTCAAGTTAGTATAGAATGTAATATCAATTTCTAAAGATGTTTGTTTGTATATTTACTGTCAGTGCTAACTTGGATTTTTTCTTTTTTTTTTTGACTTTTTGCTTGGAAGGCCTGTTTAATCACTGGACTACTTAATTTTTCATCCGACATAATCTACACAGACTCCTGTTAATTTCTAATTTTTTCAATCATTCAATTATATGTTTGAATCGTGATATGGATTGGCGCACATTTTTAATTAGCTTTCATTGTATTATGTTGTATACATTTCTTGACATATTTAAAGGACAGAAATGTGGCAGAAGATTATTAGGTGTTACTTCAGATGGAATAAGACTCCGTGGCATGATAAACTATCGATTACTATTCTGCTTGAAGATCTTGTAACAAAAAGGAATTGTTTTTGTAGTTAAATACACTGAGAATTCTATACCATTTGGTAAAATATTGTACGGATTAAGGCTATAGGGATTCAGAACACGACCTGCCTTCTATGTTGTATTTATTTTTTTAAATTTTTGATTACAGCTTGATTCCACGCTGTATTTTTGGTACAAGTATGGAATTTTCAGCGTGGATGTCGGTAGCCCAAATTTCGCAGGCCGACCATAGATATCAAGGTGTGCGTCGGCGTGGGCTCGTACCCCGGACCATGTGCATGGTTGGCGAGAGTCCTAACCACTGTGCCACCGACGCACATTATATATAGTATATATATAGTATATTAAATTAATCTAGACAAAACAACTACTTCATCGAATTCATTTTCTTTAACTGTGCAGTCGTACTGATATACGATTTTTTTCTGTCATGAAAGTGGCTAGTATGAAAGGCATATTCCTTTGGGTTCCGAGTGGAACTTAGGGCTTCAACAATACATCTCCACTTTCTTCTATTTTCTACCATCCTCTTCAGCTGGCTGGGCCCACGATCGTGGATAATCGCTCATCTTTCCCTCACATGATCTCCTCAATAGTATCCTCGAAGTGACAGCCCCCAGTTGCTTCTCATTTGGATTCCACTCAAACAATGACCTGCATTGAACGTGATGTCATTCGACCGTTTCTTCAATGTATGTAAAAATGGGATGAATCATCATAAAAATGCCTAATAGTATTAATCAATATAAGATTATAGGTTTTCAGACAATAGGTGTTAGTAACTTCTTTGAATAATTTGAGCGCCGAGTCAGATTGATTCATTATAAATTATTTAAATTAATCTCAGCGTGTTTAGAAAATCAAAACAAAATTTTTCTGAACGTTTTGCTGTGTAAGCCACAGCTTCTTCAGCAGATTTATTCGGATTTTTATTAATCATCAAAATATATACATAAACTATATATTTTGATGATTAATAAAAATCCGAATAAATCTGCTGAAGAAGCTGTGGCTTACACAGCGAAACGTTCAGAAAAGTCTTGTTTGGATTAATCAATATATTAGAACAAGACATATAAGCGAACAATATTGTTTTCAATTAGATCTTCTTCAGGCTTTACTCTAATTTACATAGACTTATATATATAAAAATTTTAACCAATGACGGTGATTTGGTGGATCAAATAATAATAGTAATAATAATAATAATCATAATAATAATAGTAATAATAATATGGTAAGTGTTTTGAACGAAGTTAATATATATATGAGAATTTGAATAAGATTGATAGAATTAAGTAATGAGATAAATAAGTTATGAAGTGAGTTGTAATCAGGATGTATATAAAAACAAAAAGGAAATTTTTATTTCATCAATAGTTTGGGCGGATAGATGAGTCAGAAAGGGGAATAGAAATAAAATAAGTCCAGCAGTATGATGATTCATCACTTTCTAACTATTGACTTTCACTGGAGAAAGAGAGAGAGGGAAATTGTATACAAATGCAATTGTACAATCGATGAAAGTGGATTAGCCTTTAAAAAACAGACATACCCTTCTCTGAACTACGTGTGTCTTGTTTTAATTAATGCTCAGATGAGAATTAGTCATGGATGTTAAATGAAGCTGAAAACTTCAGTATATGATCACAGTTCAAATCAGTTACATACGTTTAGTTTAGTTTCTTTTCCTTATATAACAAAGGATGGTAGAATTTTTTAATCTATCTGAAACAGGATCCTTTCGATTCACTATTCTACATCTCTGATTTCGTGAGTATTTACTGTAAAGGGGGATTTTATTAGTACTACTATTTTTTTCAGTTAAAACATTCACTTTCTTATATACAGTAAGGTTGTAAATATCTTCAACTGCAATCTAGTCTATTCTGTCATACAAGACAGAAAAATCAATATTTTAGTAATTAGATGAATTTAAATTCTATGCAATCAATAAAATCATGCCTTTCCCAGTCTTATCTTTGACTGCTAATTATGACGGTATTCGAATAACTAGTTATTTATATGTACATTGTTGTATGTCAAAGTATTTGTAACTGCATAATGCTAACTCACTAGTTAACCCATGTAAGTTAACTGTTGATTACAGTTGATCATATATTCTTCGGTTATTTTAATGGCTTTAATTTCCTTTGATTTTTAAGTAATAATATAAAACTATGTTTTGTCACTTTTTAATGTATTGTCAGAATGTTTCGCCTAAAGTTATAGCGTGAATAATTCTAAAGTATGAATTATACTGTAGTCGAACTTGTATCGAATACATGCTTAGGAGACTATTGAGCGATATTACTCACGAGGTCAGCCGTTGAGTGGAACCTGAATGGGAAACGATGAACTGGGTGTGGGTTTGAGGTTGATATGACGAAGATCATGTGAGGAGGAGATGAGAGTCAGATAAAGACAGCTTCAGAGAAGAGGATGAAATTCTGATGCACTATTGAAATCCTATGCTTCACTCGGAACCTGAAGAAATAATAAATAAGATATGAAGAAGCTATTCATCTCGCGAATGTTTGTATATAGTAATGTGAGTGGCTTCGTCATCGAATGGCTGAAAAAGCTATATATATATATATATATATGCGTCGGTGGCACAGAAGTAGAGTGCTCGCCGACCCCGCAGTTCGTCGGGGGTTCGATCTCCGGCCACTGACTCACTCCCAAACCTCGCTAAACCAGTGATAAGACTGGTAAAGAGGAAGGTTGTGGGGCATGAGTCTAGCAACTCCATCCTGTAAAAATAATCACCACTGCTACAGAAACTTCAAGCCTAGCCTCTAGCTTGAAGCCCTATGTCCCACTGGGAAAGTAAAGGAATAATAGTGACACAATATTCATAACTGGATGACATTACATGATGTATGTGTCAATGAGGAAGTTATTCAATTTTCTTCATTCAGTAAGAGTCGTTATACCGATATAAGTAGTTTTTAGCGGGGAACTTGTTATTGTTATCCCACTGAACTTTGAGTGGAACATGAGGTTTCAGCAGCCCATCTCCATTCCATCCCGTTCCCTTCAGTCCCATTCATCTGGCTTCACTACTGTCCACAAGCTTTCATTTCCTCCTCACAAGGTCTCCTTCATGTCAACCTCCAATGTCCAACTCGTTGTTTCCCATTAAGGTTACAATCGAGGGTGTATCACACACTGTCACTCAATGATCCTCTCAGTGTATAGTCAGTCCATCTCCATTTTCTTCAGTATATATGTCGAGCAATAGAAACGTGATTGGTTTATTCGCAGAGTTCCTTGTTGCTAATTCTTTCTGGTCTCCTTATCTTCAAAATCGAGTAAGAGGAGGCAACTGTTGATAAAAGTCTTCAACAGACTGTTGGAAGTGTTATTCGAAACGGGCCAACTTTCTGACCTATATAGTTTATTATTTGATTAATATTCATAGAATGTGAATTCATTTAAATTTAAGCTATCAGCCAATTAACACACAAAACGATCACTTTATTTATCTCTGTCTATATATATATATATATGTTCCATTATTCTCTTTTCGTTTTTTAGATTAACTAACTAACCAACTAACTAATTGACCATCTAATCAAATGGAAATCGGTCCAAATTTATGTATATGGCCAGTTCAGTCAGGTATAAATAATCATGAAAATGAACATGGATATGAATTAAAATCTATAACAAAAAATATTTCACCTATTATACAACAAAATAATTCATCATTTATATATAATCATAAAAATGATATATTAGAATTAGAAAGTGATAGTGATATTGATAATGAAATTGAATCAACCAGTCGTCATCCTCCTCCTCATAATGATCGAGATCATCATAAACAACAGCATCAACAGTATTCTCATCCTAGTTATCAAAATCATCATCAAGAGCAAGAACAAAAACATGAACAACAACACCCCCAACAGACCTATGATCATCTACATGGAGTTCACCAGTGTCATTCATCTCATTGGGATACTACTAAATTAATCAATTTATCTATAGATGAACATGATACTGATGAGAATAACAGTGTAATCATTGAAGATATCGATTCAAATGGAAATAATAATCTGCATAATGATGATTCATTGATGAATCAACAATCATTGTATGATGAACAATCCTTGTCTATCAATGAAAAACATTATCATGATAATCAGCAACATCATCAGAATAATAGTTTATATGATTTACATCAGAAAAATATTCAGAATAAAGATTATACCTGTGGATTTTGTGGTTATGATTTTGATACACCTGAACAAGTTGAGAAACATGTTTTAATTAAACATTCAGATCATTTAATTCATTGTAGTGAAAATAATAAAACAATCAATTCAACGAATACTACTACTACTGATATTCCCGACAAATCAGTAGTACTGATAGACGAGCAAAAGAAAATTAATGATAATACTGGATTATTACAAAAAGAAAAAAAATTACCTGAAAAAGATAAATTATTAACAACTATATTGAACAGTTCTATTTCAGATGTACAAATAGATGATCCATTATCCATAAAGAATAATATTAATAATAATAAAGACATTTCAACACCAACAATGAATCCAATGATTACAGATTGTCCATTATGTGATCGAACATTTGTTGGACGTAGATCATTAAATATACATTTGAATAAAACACATTCTATTCGAGAAAATAATAACAGTAATAGTAATAATACTAGTATGGATACTACTAATACAACAGTGAGTGTTAGTAATACTACAAAAATGATGAATAATACCAATACTATAGGTAAGCGATAGAATAAACTCCCCTTAGTTATTCCTAGTTTTGCCTTGGTATTTATTTTTATACAATTACTATTATGTCCTTAGGTTTCGACTGAAATATCTGGTCTCAGTGTTCTTCACAGTCCTCTTTAGCTGACTCTGCGATCGCCCATAAGCTCTCATTTCCTGCTGATACGATCTCCTCCAGATGACCTTTGAACTATAGTCCAACTCGTTTTATCCCCTTTCGGGTTGCAACTGGAGGGGGAGGTGATGTGTACTGCCATTGAATAATGTGTGTCCAATCCATCCACCTGCACTGGGTGACGTGGATTCGAATCTCAGAAGGGACATGAGTTCCTTCAAGGTTGCAGATATACCTTGCTGACCGGTGAGTGCCAACTGGCACGAAACCTAGGTCAGACTGGGCTTCCTGCCGATCGCCTCCAACCGTCTAATATTATCAAATCAATGTGCACCTAATGGCGAGTGACCTAGGGGCATGGTGGCCACATTACAACCTGACTGATAGAATTCAGTCTGCACCGATGAGAGGACTAGACACATCACACTAGATACTAGTGTCAAATTAAAATATCTTTAGGCATATTTGTTAGGTGATAAGTTCTTGATTGGCTCGTTGACGTAGTTTATTATTTATTTATCCTTTCTGGCTGGTCGTTTGATTCTTACTATTTGAACGGAGAAGGTAAATGTTGCTAAGAGTTTGCATTAGTCCGTTGGAAATGATTCTGACGATTCATATGCCAAGTTTCTGAACCACATAGTGGCAATAACTTGATATTGGTCTTATAAATCTAAATTTCTTGTTCCTTTTGATGAGTGCAGTAAACTTCCACATTGACTTCAAATTAATGAAGATAACTAGTGTTTAAAAAACTCACTTTTAGCATTGTTAAAAGATTTGTAAGATCTCATCAGGATATATAAATATCTTTCAGTAATTGTTAATTTTTTCTAAAATGCCTTGACTAATTTCTTACTACGTTTTTGTACAAAACTGGACTTGCTATTCCTGTTGATAGAAGTTATGACTACCAAACTGTGTAGCCAATTTCACATATCGAGTAACTTACATGCATCATTATAAAACCCTTTATGTTTATGCTTATCACTTAGCTTTGTTCACCTTACTAGACTAAATTAAATACGTTTCGTTTAGGTATATGAAATCACTGAACAAATCTTCCAGTAGTTCTTTTTCTTTATGCTGAGACTAACAGTAAATGACTTTCATAGCATAGCAGATTATTATTATCAACGTTGCAAAGTTCAGATCTAGAATGCCGATGTTATCACCAACAAGTATGCAATCATGCCCAATTGATACATCTCGAATAGAAGGAAATATGTGTTCTGAACTTCACTGGTAGCCATCAATTGCAAATATCATGTTTTCACGTGATTCTTTTATAGGTTTTCTTTATAGATGCATATTTCTACAGTATTTTGAGATTGGAGTGAAAAATTACAACATTCTGTTTAGTTTTCAGTAATCAGCTGATGCCACCTCTTAAAGTGCAAAAATGACATTTTTCTATCAGCTGTAAAAATTCAAATGAAATTCTTAGCATACATATCCGTCAAATACGGTTTGTTTTTCATAAGGAGGTTTGTACCTCTTAAAGAAATTGTATAAATTAAATTATTTAATATTAGGAAGTAATTTTCAAAAACTTATCTAACAACGAATCGTTGCACAAATAACACTTGTTTTTAGTGAGGAGTCAATTACTACTTAAATGTACAAACTAGTAGTCTAGAGATAAATGGGATTTATTTGTCAATGTGTTAAAGCGAATAGATCCAACAAGAAAAGAATATGGGAAATTTGGGAATAACCCTTCAGTAGCATCATATGTCCAACTCCAGTAATATCAGCACAAAACATACAAGAGAACACGGTGTCGGTGGCTTAGCGGTAGAATGCTCGCCAGCCACCCCTTATGTTGTTCGAGGTTCGATCCACGGCCACCGACGCATTCCTTTAACTCACTAAGTTAGTAATAAGACCGATAAAGAAGAAAGGTTGGACATGGGCCTAGCAAACCCATCTCCTTAAAATAAACACCACTGATATCGAAACTTGAAAGCTCTAGCTTGAAGCCCTGTGTGGTCCAGCGGGAGCGTAAAGGAATAAGAAAAATTATACGCGAGCAATATTGTTTTCGATTAGGTCTTCAGGCTTTACAGTGATTTACATAGATTTATGTATAAAAATGTTAACTGGTTGGGGTGAGTTTGTGGATCAGATAATAATAATGTAGTAAATGTTTTGAACGCCAGTAATAACTGTCATTATAGTGGTTACAAAATAATGATAATAAGGTTTATGCATGTGGCGATAAGAATAACAAAGGTGGCATATGCATATATCTGTATATGTAGACAATTAAATAAGTAAATTAGGTCAAATCTTAAAAGTTACATAACACTAAAGGTGAAGTGGACAGATAATCAGAGTTTAAATAAATATCATTAAGACACCAACGAAATGGAAAATAAGAAAGTGTGAGAGGGTTTTAATTAAACTTCACCTTAACCAAAGAAGAGACTAGGATTGTTCTCTCGAATTCCCATAGCTTCAGCTATATGTAAAAGGTGGATTCGAATTCCATTCGAAAGGCTTGATGGAATGCATTAGATAAATTTGAAGGCACTATTTCTGTCCACTCGGTGACCACTATCAATCAAATGAGTCAAAATAGAACATCTTACATATTTTATATGGCTTTTACGGAATCACTGGAGAAGGAAGATGCTAATTAATGCGTTTGTTGAGCCGTCTGCTTGTTTGCCCTGTGTAGTTTTCTCCGAAAGAGCAGCTGAATTTGTCGTTACGCACAGAAGTGGCACAGCTAGGCAGCTTGTCTTTCATTTGAGTCGGCTCTACCATATATCAGAAAAGATATCAGTGGAAGAAGCATTGAGTAAAAACTGATTTCGACTTGAGCTCTATCATTTTGGATACTGACAACCATGAAATAAGTATTAGAAAATAAAATTTTGATTACTTCATTTGAATAACCCCTCTTCACAGTAATAAGATGTCAAGCATAAATAAAAATTTCAAATTCATGCGTTGTAATTAAAATACATTGGGACTCTTTAAATACAGATTACGAGAATAAATACTGATCCACCTGGCCAAAGTATTGAACTACTATTTTTGTTTATTTCATCAAGAGTAAACTAGAGGGACATTCCAAGCTGCATTTTTACGTCAGTGGTTCAATGGTAGGATGCTCACTATCGATGCCGAAGGTTCAGGTTTGACTTCCGATAGAGGCACTTCCAAAACGTCGCCTAGTTTACTAGTCTGTATTAAGCCAGGGAGAGAGAGGGAATATTGGGTGTAGGGCTAGCAACCGCACACTGTAGAATCAAATAAGATCACCTTTCAAGGAACTTAACCCTAAGTTCCTATTATCTCCGAAGACGCTCGAACCGACAACTACTGAGTACAATATTGACCTTAATTCCAAAACACAAGAACCGAGAAGAAATTGTATTGTTCGGCAGTTATTGTCAGTGCTCTGTACAAAGTCTATAAACAAATGTTTTACAAGGAATCTATTGTACTTTTATTAGTATTCTTTCTTCTTGTACCTCGTCTTGTACACGATTGAATCATTCACTCCTTCGAGTTGCCCGCCAATGGCGACCAAGGCCAATGTACAAACGTTCTATGTTCACAATCAACGACACCACCATTGTTAAAACTTCAGAGTTCGAAGCCATATGTTTCACTGGGAATGCGAGGAATAAAAATACACATAAATTGCAATAAAATATCAATGATTTTTCAATACTGTGTAAAAACATAATAACTAACAATCATTAGAAATATGAGCGTCTTTTGAGTGAGAGTTTTTAGCAGTTTTCGTATTTTTATTCTTCGTTAATGTATCAAGTCTCAACTCATAATGGTACTGCTGTCAGTGTCAAATAATTTGCAGTAAGTAAAATATATCTGGTCTATGAAATTGGGATTCTGTTCTAGATACATTAGTGTAGTTTCGTTCTCTGAGCGGGTTGATTTATATTGCACAGTGTGAGCTGAAGATATTGTCTAGAAAAAGGACAATAAAAGCCTCGCAAATCAATCATCTACCTCAGAGAAAACAACTACATCAATTTCATTTACCCAAGCTACACGTCTCATCCATCATGTCTTCAATATAAAATATATCCAGTCATATTGTCACTCAAGAAGAAAGAGAGGTGTAGCAAACAGAATGATAGAAATTAATAAGATAAGAAATAACTTCAGCACCTACTGTTTTACACCAGCGTTCTAACATGTTGAAATCAACCGCAAAATTAAAGTTTTTCTTCATAATCTTAAAAGTGGTGGGTAACATTGAGAATTTGGGTCAATCGCTCATGTGATCCAGGTTCAATACCTGGCTGACGAACTCCCAAACCTCGCTAAACCGGTAAAGAGAAGAGGGTGAGTGTGAGACTAGCGACCTCTGCTATCGAGACTTCAAAGCTTAAGCTTGAAACTCTATGTTTCACTCGGAACGTGAAGGAATATAGTTTTTAAAAATATCTGACAAATGCTTTATTTGTCATCAAAACATTGTTTATCATTTAGCAAAATAATGGGTGTTTAGGCTAAGCATCCATCTTTCGGCCATTGCGCTGAGGATTGAATTCTCGCCCCGTCTACAAATCTGATCCCGTTAGCTGAGTTCTAACTTGCTGAGGTTGCTTTACAGTATATTTATGGCTCTTTTATTTTTCTTAATCTCTATTATAATTTAGACGTTGAACAATCAAAGTGCAATTCACAAATGAAATTAACACGTCTATCTCATTCATATTCTTTGAAAGGTAACAATAGAAATCTCAAGGTTTTTACTGAATCAATAAAATCTTCATCAAATGAAAAATCATCATGTAAAATTGCTGTTCGACCACCACTTCTACCAAGACCATCACGTAGTGAAAATTCAGCAATACATACGTCAGTTTCATCTTCACAGTCATCAAATATGGATCATATAAATGCAAATAATCTGTTATCAACTTTATCGGATATTTCTGTATCTAAAAGTAGTGATAGTGAAGAATCAAGTCTTCAGAAGTCTCGACGTACTGTTTATGCAGTGTCACCTCCTTTAGCAAAAGAGCACAGTAAGTCATGTATTACATATATATATATATGCTTTCAACTTTGAAGAATTTAAGAAGTATCTTACATATGACAGTGAAAATTCCAATTTTTCCTCTCAATTTACATTGTGTGGCATTACTAAGCATAGGATATGCGTCGATGATTCGCTGATAGAATGCTCGCCAGCCAACCAGTTACAAGTAGTTTGGATTCAATTCCTGACCTATGCACCCCCTAAATTTGTCCTAGATGAGAGTAGGCCCGGTAAATAAGGAAGATTGGGGGTGAAGCTAGCAATCCTACCCTGTTTAGAACCCCACCTCTACTGAAACTTCAATCCTCAAACTTGAAGCCTTATATCCGAATGGGAACTGAAAGGAATGGAAAAAAGCATGGTACAGATAAATTTGTTTTGAAATTTTATTCTCAAGAAGAAAAAGAAGATTGCTTTACTGAAATCAGTATACTTCAGAGTCAAATTTCATTCTGGACAGAGTTTTTAATGACGCACATTTTAAACTCTGCATAGAAAAAAGTCAAGTTTAGACAGAAACAAAGTTAATAGAGCATCTGTAACCCGATTTGTAAATATTTTTCATTACCTGGTGTTGTTTTAAACTGTCTAATGGAGCGGTAAATAATCATCTCGAATTATTTAATGTTTATTTTCAAATTTGATTCAGTGCATTATTTAGTCAGTAGACGGACTAGAAATTTCATTTAGATCTGATTGTCTTTGTAAAAAGAAACGACAGTCGTATCATTAGAAGTTAATGGGTAAAGAACAAAAGTTTTCCCCAGTGTTACTATTGACTGGGATTTGAATGTCAGCATAGTTTACGGCACCGACTGTTTTTGGTTATGATTTCAGTTTGACAAGGCATGGATATTTTGATGATAACAACTATTTTGGAGTATTAGTTACTTCTTCCTAAACAAACATTTGAAGTGATATATAAAGCGGTTGATTGAATGTAGAATTTCCTTAGTATATTCAGAGTATTTTTGATCACTTCACATATGAAGCTGAATTAAGCTGTACAGCAAACTGTAAACTTCCTAAGGGAAACAGTAGTCATTACCACAAAAGTTGCTGAATGGGTCTTTTACAGAATATCTTTCAGAAAATAAACATAATGAGAAAAATACATCTATTTTTAATAATTAGTAGAATTAGCATTTTTATACTTACATTATTGTATTTTGTGTATAAGATACAGACTAGGCTCGACTATGTAAATAATCTTTGAGATTAGCTTAATGAAGTTGACGAGAATGCTTTCGTTCAGATTCAATCACTAGAAACTTTTTTAAATTAAAAAGGCATATGTCAGCAAAGTGTACTCTCTCCATATAATAATAATAATAACAGTTTTTTTAGCAGTGTTCATAAGACTGAATTCTGAAAGCGTTTTCACCGAAGAGGACAAGAGTATCTACATACTTTGAGTATTTTCTCCTGACAGTATGTCATTTGTTAAGATAGTGAAGTTGACTTGGGTCACGTCCATCAATGCATCTGCGAAGAAATTAAATAAAAATGGTGTCACTGAAGCTGCTGATTGTCTTCATTCCAGATGGCATTTTCCACTAGTCTTTAATGTAGCCGCATGAGTTCTCTGCGACCTTTTTGGCTGGCTCCACAATCACCCACAAGCTTTCATGTCCTCTACACATGATTATTCTCAACGTCACTTTCGAAAGTCCAGCTCCCTGTCTTCAGCCTGAGTTGCACTCAAGGGCCTGAGATGTGAAGTCACCCACCGTATGTCTAATTCATGACGATTTCCTTCCGCATATTTGTTAGGCGATCGGTTGTTGATTGGTTCGCTGCCAAAGTATCTTGTTAATTATCCTTTCCGGCCGCCTAAATGATCTTCAGCATGGAGCGTATTCAGGTGTTGATGAAGACCTTCAGCAAGCTGTTGGAAATGCTTTTGTTGACATACGCGCCAAGTCTTTGAACTATATAGAAGAAATGACTTAAGATTAGCGTTAAAAAAATCCGAACCTTGTTCTGTATACTTAGTACAGTGGATTTCCATACCGGTTTCATAATAATGAAGTTATGGCTTGTTTTTCTGATCTTGTCTTTGACATCCTTACCGGTCCCATCTGTTGCAGAGACACAACCATTTAGCTATTCAAATCGTGTTTCACCTCCTGTATGACTGTAATCGATGTTTTAGTCTGTAAAATCAAAAGGATTTCAACATAATGTTAAAAGACAATACCTGAAAATTGCTTTGATATTCCAGTAGCTTCCATAGTTTGAATTTGTATGCCAACAATTTGTTTAAACATCATTCTCATTATGCCACTGCTTGCACTAAGTGACTGTGAATTGCAAATAATGATATCTGTGTATTGTGGCTATACCCTACTGTTTTTTATATGTGATAATAGCTTTATTCTGAAAAATGCCTTTTTTACACCATACATGATTTACAGGAACTGTTTTACAGCAAGTTATTTACTCCCTGTTCAGAACCTTCAAGAAGTCTGATAAATGATAATATTTTTGATTGAACACTAATCAGTAACTAGTGTAATATGTTTAGTCCTTTATCCGGTGCAGGCTGAATTCTGTCTGTCAAGTTTGCTATGTGGCAACCATACCACCAGGGGTTTGCCATCAGAGTGCACTGTGGATTGTTGATATTAGATAGTCTGAGACAATCGGCAGGAAGCCCAATGTGACCTAGGTTACGTGCTAGTCGGCACTTACAAGTTAGTAAGGCGCATCTGCAACAATTAAGGAACTCATTTCCCTTCTGAGATTCAAAACCGCGTCACCCAGTGAGTACTACAGTCAGATACGTTACCACTGAGCTATTCCGGCTCGCGACTGACCTCCTGTAGGAGTGTATTGGATATTTTTCATTGGACAGTAGTAACTAGTGTGACGTATCTAGTCCTTTCTTTGGTGCAGACTGAATTCTATCAGTCGAGTTTGCGATGTGGCCACCATTCTAGGTGACTTGTCATTACAATGCACTGCACTTTGAATTGTTGATATTAGGTGTCTGGAGGCAGCTGACAGGAAGCACAGCCTGATCTAAGTTTCATGCTTACTGGCACTCAACTGATGCGATATTGCTTCATTCGACACATGATCCAATAATCTACAATGTTTCTATCCTATTTCCCTCAGAAAATTCCTAGCAATAGATTGAAACCTATTTGGAGTATACATACACGATTCTTAGATATAATTATATGGATTAAAACAATATGAAATGCAGTAAACAAGATACATTTTTAGGTGGATAGAAAATTTAGCTAACCCAATGAGTTATTTAAGCCTTAAGTTTTTCTATAGATTTTCCAACTTCTGAATACCTTAACAATATCAAAGATTAAAAAAAGAAATATCCGTTTGTCAAATAGACCTGAAAGTTTACTGGACAGTAAGTAATCAGCTCTCTTTCTTATCAGACAATGATGATTTTAAGAATGCACAGATGAAGGCTATAAATGACATTACACAAGATCAGTAATGTTATTCACAATTCTGAAAATAAAAATTTGCGGTTATATTAAACAGTTTCTTTTTTTGCTTTATCTTGTCATATCATAACATAAATTTCTTTTAAAAATGCATGATTCCTTTTGACTTTCTAGTCTTCTGTAGTAGTATTTTGAAAGGTTTCACCCTTTTGCAAGGTTCTACATAGTTTCTCTCTCTTATATATATATATCTATCTCATTTCTATATGTCATTAAAAGTGGAAATATAATATTAGTGACATTAATGTACCTTGTAATATTGTTTGCAGTGATAACGTATATATACAAACGTATGCACTGCATATATATGTATTATCGGTCATTTGATGACATTTGGCTACATGCCAAGTCTAGTTTATGGTTTATTTCTCTTTGTTGTTTTTTAAACAGGATGTTCTTCTGAAGCAAAAAAAATGTCAGCTATGCGCATCATACACACAGAGATGCACAGTTTTGATCATAATCTTGGAAATTAGTATACTTAATTAGAATGTTTTTAAAAAATACATTCTGAAACGTTCACCAATCTATACAGTTGCAGGTGCTATAGGTCACAAAAGATAAAAACTATGCATTATAGTCCACGTCACCACTTACGGATGATAAGTGTTGTTTTTGCATTTGTCCAACCTAGAGCCGATCGCTCAATAAATATGTAGGAGAAAATGGAGATGGATCGGGTATACATTGAAGAAACTGCCGAATGACATAGTGTGCCAGGCCAGAGCTTGAGTGGAACCCTTAACGGGAAGCGACAAGTGGGTCATTACTTCGAGGGTGACATGGAGGAGATAATTTGATGAGAGATTATTTGTAATCGTGGGCCCAGTCAGCTGAAAAGGACGGCAGAAAATGGAAGAACGTGGAGATGGGTTGTTGAAAGCCTACGTTCCACACGGTATCCAAGGGAACAATAATAATATATAATAATATAACTGTATTTAAATCATGAAATTCGTTATATTTTAAGCCAAATGATCAGTGATCTGCAAAATCCATTATCTGATTTTAATGTATTCATTCTTACTGGCGCTGATCTCTATCTTTGAAGAGGAAAAGAAAAAGGCATTTATGTGTTCAGATTATCTTTACAAAATCTCTCTCTTCTCTAAATTATTTCTGAAGTTAGACAAAAAAGTTCCCAAAGTTAGAAGTTGTTAGTGAAATTTTACAATTCTCCTTTTATTCTTAATTTTCTTTGTTTATTTCAAAGAGATAGTTGAGTAGAATAATCCATCCCTTGATTTAGTAAAACATACAACAGATTAATCTAGTAACTTTAAAATAACTGAATAAAAATTAGTTCATTTTTAATATTTTGAGGAATAATCAGTAGAGTGAAAGCGATTTTCCATTGGGGGTGGGTGGGTGGGTGACCATTTGGTGCGCTATTACCTGTTGTACGTGTACTAAATTACTATACCTCACAGTGCCTTCTAATATGTAATATTAAGATATGAGGCTAAAAGATAGTGTGAAGACTTTATGCGTTGCAGTGATTGACCTCTTT